GGAAAAAACGGGAATGATTCAAGTCACCAAGAACAAAAACGACCAAATAACTTTACAAATTGTTAACAACTAAATGTTGTAACGCAACTCCTTCATATAGTCTGTTTACTCAACTTTCACATCCTACTGTACATCATGATAACAAATTTGTAAATCTTTACCGGGAAAACTCATATATGTATTCACATTAACTACAACACCGTTATGTTCTGAAATACTTATTATGTAATAATCATCAATCATTGATTGAAACATTGTATCTCATACTTTTCTGTAAATAAAGATATATTTTATATTGGAAAAAAATNTTTCTTTTGTACCTGCTAATTTTATTGAAACATTATTATACTGTATAGCTACAATAACTAGAAGCTCAACACTCAGCATGTAACTCTTCACTGTAAATACTGTATTCAAATTTTGTACAAACGTTTTCTCTGTATATATTTTCTTACTTTAATTGTAAAAGTGTAGCAGTGACTATAAGGTCAAATTGTATATCTTAACTTTCATTCTGTCCTATTTCGCTTTCTTTCACCTTAAAACTTCACTCTTCCTATAACTTTTATCCTTCTTTCCTTTTCAAGTTTCTTAGGCTATACCAATGAGTGCGGCCAATAAACAATTCTCTAATTCTCTAATGTATGCTCTATATTAGTGTTTTTGCTTATTAATACAATCATTCGTTACTTTCTGAGTAAATTTTAAGTATAGTAGTAAGTAGCTATGGAAAATTTACTTGATTTTAGTAAATCTGTGTTGTTAGAATTGCCACGTGCTTCTGGTCATTTTACACAAAAGGACTTCGTTTCGGCGCTACAAGATACGGTCGACAGTAAAGATATTATTGGACTTGGACCGCTACAACAAAAATGGAAATGGATATTAACGTTAAACAACGAGGAGGTAAGAAGTATAATCTTGAATCTCGGAGAAATCGAAGTTACGGGTAGTAAATGCATCATTAAACCAGTAATTGAAGATTTTGTTGAGGGAAAAGTACACTGGCTACCTCTAGAAGTACCAGATAGTTATCTAAAGAGTATACTAGAAAAATTCTGTGATAAAATTGAAATAAGAAAAGAAAAATCAAACGAGCCGGGACTGGAACATATTTTGAGTGGCAAAAGACTGGTCACTCTAAAATTAAAAAAAGGGTTTAATGTCGATATACTTTCGCATACATTTATATTATGTAATTTTCCAGCCTTATTAGTGATAAAAAATCGCGTACCGAGATGCTTAAGATGTAGTCAAACCGGCCATATCAAGAAAAATTGTTCTACTCCCTTTTGTTCTAAATGCAAAAATTTCGGCCATGACACGTTGCTTTGTGTAGGACCGACCTATGCCTCTCGCCTGAGGAAATCTGCAACGGAAGTACAGTACAGAAGCGACGATAGTAAAAGGGTAGAGACAAAAGAGAATTTACAGCAAGAAAACAATGAAGCAAATGGACCGGAAATAAGTACTGACAAACCCGAAGAAATAAACAACACGGAGGGGTTCAAGCTAGTACAAACGAAAAAGAATAAACGGAAAGGAGGCGAAAGAAGCAAAAATATTACAAATAACAAATTGGCAAACTCGGAAATTAGTAGCGATACAAAATTAAATAATACTTGTCGTGACAAGGACCCGAGTAAAAGAATAAGAAAGACCTCGCTTTCGGATGAGTCGATAAAAAATAATGAACAGTCAAATAAAGGGAACAGCATGGATATGGAGTATGAACACTTCGATATCAGCAATGAAGGTTCTCAGAATTTATCCAGCTGGGCAGATATAATGACAGAAGACACAGCAGGAGATGTAGATACCCCTGCTGAATATAAAATTCATGAGACTCAAACCTGAGTATTGTATAATACGAAATTAACTNGGGCAGATATAATGACAGAAGACACAGCAGGAGATATAGATACCCCTGCTGAATATAAAATTCATGAGACTCAAACCTGAGTATTGTATAATACGAAATTAACTGGGTTATTCTTTCTTAAATGCGACAAGAATGGAGCTGAATATAGGATGCATAAACATAAATGGTCTGAAGAAACGCGGAACCAATGTATTTTTGTGGAACCTCTGTCATAGTAACTTCGATGTAGTACTAGTACAGGAAACACATGTATCCAATAAAATCAGTGCCATCGAAATTGAGAGAAAAGTAAACAGTAAATATAACTGTTTTTGGTCGTATGGTACTCAACAAAGCAGTGGAACAGCGATATTTATACAAAAACACTTCGAGACGGCTGGCTTTGAGTACGATGCCGAGGGTCGAATTTGTAAAATTGATGTTAAAATAAACAACAAAAAATTCCGTATAATAAATGTCTACGCGCCGACAGATGGGCACATGAGAAAAATATTTTTCCAGAATATCGACAACTACGTAAAAACGGGGTATGACTATTTAATAATGGCAGGGGATTGGAACTGCATATTAGATGCAAAAAGGGATAAAAAAGACGGTGACCCAAACACATCCATTAGAACAGCGGAACAATTGAAAACCGCTATGACTGATTATATGTTAACTGACATNAATTTCTAAATAATTTTAAATGGAAAAGTACACCCATCTGAAGAGGAGTGTTTAGTCATTCAATAGCTATATTTCAGACCGTATAGTCTTTATCATGTGTATGCTTCTATATGTAAAATTCGGACAATTTAATTTAACAAAATTTTTATTTTATTAAGCGATTGGTAGATAAAAGGGAGGTTACTATACTTCGAGTCAATATCAACTTCAGGTGGCATTATGGCTTATCTCCAGACTTTGTAGTTTAAAAATATGGCGCTAAGCAAATAGCAAGTTGTGACAAAACACCATTTGGATTGATGTGATTATTTATGTCGATATTGCACTTTTTAGGATTTCGAAATTTTCAAATATTCAGATTGAGTTCTGAAAGTATTTAATTATATTTTATTGTCATTGATGTCGCATGAAATTGCTTTATATTAATTCTATCACATACTGTATCCCATAAGTTTATTTTTCTTGCAATAATAACTGAAAACCGTATTTCAGAGATTAGATCTTACTTGATCTCAATTGGTCGAAGTTTTATATATCTTAAATCTGGTAGTAGAGAATCAATGGCCGGATGGCCGAGCGGCCAAGGTCGCAGCCTACCGCCCTGGGGGATTCGGGTTCGAATCCGTACGGGTCGAAAAATCTTCAGGAATGTTTCGGGGGTGGTCCGTTCGGATATGTCGAGCACCGTCTCTCATTACCCGGCAGCCCATTGTGGGCCTGGCCGAATCCATAATAAGCTTGCAAAAAGAAGCCCTCTTAGAGTAAAAAAAAAAAAAAGTGGTACAGAATCCTTGAATTTAATTTAGACTTACCACACGGCCGCTCTTTATGGCCGAATCTATAATTGACTTGCTAGAAATGGACTAAGTAGAAAGGTCTTCTTGATGTTTAAAGAACGAAAAGAGTTTTTTAAAAAGTATTACAGGACGCTATGAAATTTCTAAAATGCATTATTTAGATTAGGTTGTACGAAGTTTCATACGAAGTATGCCGAAACATCTAGTTATTTTTTTTGTACAAAACAAAATAGTTTATTTTTTTTATTTATTTTGATACAATATTACAGTATATTTTAGAGTCTCAAATTAAAAAATTTTTTTTGTTCTATGAGACAGAGATGGCATTTTGCATCTTGGTGTCAATGTACAAGGATAAGAAGCCTGAAATGGGAATAACGAAGAGAGAAGCTTTTATTCAATTTACAGTATTACGTGTGGGGTAATCAGACAAAGCTTTTAAATAAATTTTCCTAAAGGATTCATTTTAAAAAATTTCAGGAAAAAGTGATAAAAGGGAATTGAATTGCTGACGTAAAGCGCTAATACACTTTATTTGGTTTCAACTTTATTTATTACAGGGAGGGGTGACCCGCTGTGGAGTTAGTCACGCAATGAAAGACGGGGATAAAAGAATATAGATTTAGAAATAGAGAAATTGTACAAAAAATATCAGTTTAAAATGCACAAAAACAATTTCTGTTACGGTAAATCTTTTAGAAAAGACTGGCAAATAATAATCTTCGNATGGCCGAATCTATAATTGACTTGCTAGAAATGGACTAAGTAGAAAGGTCTTCTTGATGTTTAAAGAACGAAAAGAGTTTTTTAAAAAGTATTACAGGACGCTATGAAATTTCTAAAATGCATTATTTAGATTAGGTTGTACGAAGTTTCATACGAAGTATGCCGAAACATCTAGTTATTTTTTTTGTACAAAACAAAATAGTTTATTTTTTTTATTTATTTTGATACAATATTACAGTATATTTTAGAGTCTCAAATTAAAAAATTTTTTTTGTTCTATGAGACAGAGATGGCATTTTGCATCTTGGTGTCAATGTACAAGGATAAGAAGCCTGAAATGGGAATAACGAAGAGAGAAGCTTTTATTCAATTTACAGTATTACGTGTGGGGTAATCAGACAAAGCTTTTAAATAAATTTTCCTAAAGGATTCATTTTAAAAAATTTCAGGAAAAAGTGATAAAAGGGAATTGAATTGCTGACGTAAAGCGCTAATACACTTTATTTGGTTTCAACTTTATTTATTACAGGGAGGGGTGACCCGCTGTGGAGTTAGTCACGCAATGAAAGACGGGGATAAAAGAATATAGATTTAGAAATAGAGAAATTGTACAAAAAATATCAGTTTAAAATGCACAAAAACAATTTCTGTTACGGTAAATCTTTTAGAAAAGACTGGCAAATAATAATCTTCGAAATCAGTAATATGCCAAAAGAAAAAAAATAAATAATAAATAATAAAATTATTTGGTTTCATTTGGCAACATTGATTCAATAACTCTAAAAATATATTTTTTTAAATTAATTTTTCATAATTAAAAATATTACAAATTGAATTTATATATTTAAAATTATAATTAACGATTTTAAAGAAAATTCTTGTAACTTAAATAAACTTTTAATTAAACATAAACCGAGACACGTCACGTGGCGGCGTGGTGTAAATTGAAAATGTCTGACCACGAAAGGGAAGTTTCGAAAGTAAATATAGAAAAAAAAGAAGAAAAATCAAATAATGATACGAGCGAAGAACAAAATAGTAAAGAGAACGAGGTAAATTAATTTAATTACATAAAAGTATTCCTTTGCATTTACAATTTAATTAATTAAATGGTTTGTTGACGTGTCATTTGGTTTCCATTTTGTTTTTTATTTTTTTTCTTATTAAATTTCTTGTTTATTTTAAAAAATTCCTTATTATATTTAATTTTCTATATGCGAAAAGCTTTATATATGTATTTATCTGATTATTAAATGAAATATTTAAAAATTGTAAAAACTATATTGATAATTCAGCATCCTAATTTAATTTTATATCATTTCTATCATTTGCATTTATATTATTATGTGGCTCTTAAATTGGAGGCAGTGAAGAGCAAATGTTGAACATGTATTATTCTAAATGGAATATAGATATGTGATCTTGTATATTAATAGTAGTGTGAGCTAGATGGAGCTCTTAAAGTTCATCTCGACACGCTGAAACACTACTGGCCTGTCTAAAAACAGAGACAGCCCCGTTGAATAGTTTTCTACATACTTGGCACCTGCACGACTCTCTGGCTTGCCCCCACTGTGGCTCAACGGAGACAACATTTCACTACTGGCTACATTGATCACAATACAAAAGGGCTAGTCAAAACCTCGGCACTATTTTGACTTTAAATCTCACAATAGTTTGATTGCTTATGTTAATATACTGGCCTAAAAACCACACCCCTCCACGTCATCACGTGGTAGCATTGGGACGCTATATCTATTACACAGGCCGCTTCAGTTAAACACCAGTTGGTGCTTGTCGGAGAAGAGAGCCTATATGGCTGAAGTCTCCATATAAACCCAGTGAAAGAAAGAAAGAAAGGTGGAGGTCTTGAATATCAGTTATGTGCCTTGTGCAATTTCTCTGACCAGTGAAAGAATTTAAGTAAGAAACAGAATCACAACTTCCTTGAAAAATTATAAAAATATATTATGAAAATGGTTATAATTGTTGGATTTAAATTCATTAGTGTCTATGTAGTAAACAAGATTAATCTGAAAAACAGCAATCAGGATCACTATTAACATCACAATGCTGTTTTCATATTATTGGCTCTCTTTGTTTTGACTCTCTTAAGAACAGATCTTGAGTAGCTACTTTTGTTATATGGTTTAGAATACAAAGATTTAATTTTGAATATATAGTTTTGAATATATACTGCTGTAGAGTTGGGAATTAAAAATCCTTTCCTAAAAATAGGCTGCAATCTTTTAGTAGTATATCTATTTAAATGAAATTTTTTAATATCTGATTAGTATATATATAGTTAATTTATTAACAAATTTGTTAGTTTGATAAAAATGAGTAAGGAACTGTGCATTCAATTGTTTTTTTTTTTTTTTTTGCTTTGCTCATTTTTAGCTTATATAGTTTTCTTCAGGTAATCTGTACTTTTTGGGCTGCAATTTGAAAATACTGTAGACCTATAAATTCCCACTATAGTCCATCTGTATGTCTTTCCTTAATCTCATGAATGGTGTTAGATAAACAAACTTCAAGACCAGGGGCCGTATTCTGGTCACCACCTCTGGTCTCTTGTCTCTCACAAGCTGGTCGCTGATTGGCTAATCCAAATGATTAGCCAATCAGCAGTTGGCTTGTGAGAGACGAAAGACCAGAGACGGTGACCAGAATGCAGCTCCAGATATGATAAGCTTAGGGGTGATTAACTATTTATGAACTTTTGATGCAAACTGGAAGTCACATTTCAATTAAAAAATTTTCCCTCAAATTGAGTTAGATGGATGATCGGCACAACTCTATTGCTAACGGAAAAATATGATGTACAGTATAGTATTAATTTGAGGTGGAGAGCATATATTTTAAATTAAATAAATTAAAAATATGATTAAAAATTGCAGCCTGTCATTGTGACGATGTCGCAATAAATAATTACTCATTGTTATAGCACATTGGTAGCATTTTTAATGTAATAACTCTACTTCATTAAAAATGCTACAGGTGTAGAAATATGAATGTAGAAGATGAATCAGCAACATAAATGTATTTGTCTGTAGGTAGAAAATTGTGGCGATGACACTTTCAATATATCTGCCTATATTTTGTATACATTAATACATTGATTTTATATTTTAATTACAAAAAAAGCAATACTTACAGATATCTTTAAAGTATTGAACAGTGATTGAAGAATACAGTATATTAAACAAATTAGAAAATAAAGAGAGAAATAATTAAGAATATTATTTGTTATATTTTATTTTATTCCTTAATGCAAAACAACTCCAGATTCTTTAACTCTCTATAAGTCTCTCATGTATATGATGACAATGATTATTTTTTCTGTTTATCAAGGCAATATTAACAAATTTAACTTTTAAATTGCAAATTTAATAGATTTATTAATTATTTAACAGATGGCAACATGTCTATTTGCTGCCAAATTATTCAAACATTAATTAATTAACATCTAGCAACAGATGTATGTAAATAAAAATTAAGTTGAGAAGTTAATTGAGAATTTTATATAAAATTTATAAAAACAAATATTTTTAGAATTATTATTAAGAAATTTTACTGCTTGATTATTATTTATCAGAAGAATACAAAATGTTAAAATAGTATGAGTGTTTTTTAATTAGCTCAAGATGTAGCATATATGCGATTCGCTTTACGTATACTGTTTAGTGGAGGGTGGAGGTATGAGAAAGGTACATCAAAGTACACACTAGGGAAGGAGGAGTTGATGCATTGTTTATGTGGACTTTTTTTAGTGTTATTAGGGGCATACAAATTTGTTCTTATAAGCCAAATTACTAGAAAATATTCACAAAAGTTGTTTAAGTCATTTCTTCAATGTTGGGGATCACAAACTATTGTACATGTAATTAAAGAAGATCTGCCAAAAGTATATCATTGTACACATAATGGATGGTCCCTTATACAAGTATGTGAGATATTGAAAAATTCTGATTGATTCTTGTAATAATATAATTGATTTTACAACTAATTGAGTAGAAATAACATGTTTGCAACCAGATTTATCATTTTGACATCAAATAAGTAGTTGAGTTGTTCAGTTCTGAATCATAAAACATAAAAACTACTTTTAGAAAATGTGTTTAAACTTGTATTGTTAGCTGTTGAGTTTGAGGTGATTCATTTTCTTTGAATTTCTTAATTTGTTAAGGATGTTTGTTATGCAATAATGAACTTAAAGTGAAGTCTGGTGTCTGTTTACTTAATGTCTTAATACTTTATTGCTAATTTTAGCATAGAGTTGCTTTACATCAGTTACTTTAGGAAGAAGTATTTGATAGTCTTTTTTCCAAACAGATAATAATAATGTTGCATCATTTATGATCTAAATTGTATATTACTTTAAAAATTTTATTAAAAAAAGTAAGATTGAAACAGAGATATACTTATTCATTGTCTACTATAGGAATTCTTTAATTAATGAAGAAGTTACTTTAATTTCTAAATTAACAGAAAAGAAGGCAATTTAACTTATCTTTTTCACAGTACATTCTTTAATACACAAGTCCTATGTTAATTTTAAAAGAAATATTATAGAAAATAATGTGTTATTTTAAATACTGTTTGAAATGAAGGTATATTTATATATTTATAACTTTACATAATAATTTTTTTTAATACAAGAAACAATATTTTATCATTACATATTCTTTCTTATACAGTGGAACCTTGCTTAATGAGCATAATTTGTTCCAGAATCTTGCTCGTAATGTGAAACACTCGTTAAGCCAAACAGTTTTTCCCATAAAAATTAGTGTAAAATACGATAATGCATTCCATGCTGAAAAAATACTCAAATATTTTGTCTAATGTTTATTCAAAGAAAATTATATAATATACATTAAGAAGTGTGAATCATCATCTCTTCTTCTAGCATGGAATGAACCAACCTGGAACGCAAATTCGATTTGCAGAAAACAAAAAAATCGCAGATAATATGTCTGAAGATGCCAAACGATATGCCAAATTCTTGGGCTATGTAAAGGCTATAGTTAAATATTAGAAATTAATTAATTTGACTAGAAGTAGGCAGTTATGTTGCCATCTCATATTAAATTTAATTATTATAAATAAATAAATTTTAATTTAGATATTTTAAAAATTTAATTTGGAATTGGTCATTAAATTTAGTAGAAGATGGCGTGTTTATTATATAACAGGCTATGATTGTTGATGTTTATATGTAATATGTGTGAACACAAGTTTGGAAAAATGTGTGATCACGAGAGATACTAAGATGCTAGTGGAACGAGTGCTAAACACAGACTAATGGAGCATGTGCACAATCCAGGATTTTCCCTCTCCTTGTCACTTGTTATGCAAAACATTGCTTGTTAAGTGAGTCAATTTTTTACAATTTGGTTTGCTTGTTATGCGAAATACTCATTATGCAAGGTGCTTGTTAAGTGAGGTTCCACTGTATTTATTTTAATGAAAGAATTTTTATGAAAGAACTAAGTCTAAACTTTAAAAGTAAATAGGAAATATATAAGAAATATCTTAAATAAAGTAAAAATATTAATTTTATTTGTAATACAATAGTAAAGAAGAAAGGTTAAAACATAGAAATTTAATACATTTGAATGATTGAAATAATGAGAAACAGTGTGTAATTTATTAAGAACAAGCAGTACTGTTTCATTTCAGTGTACAACATAATGATGAAACTTTGAATTCAAAGAAAAAATACATAGTAGTTAAATTAATATTAAATAAAGTACATAGTATTTAGGTAAAAATTATATATTATATTCTTTTTTGAAAGAAATATTTTATTTTGCTTTGATTTACATAACAGAGTTAAAAATAAAAACTAAATCTCTGGCTTGATGATCAAGTAAGATTGTTATAAAAGATAAAAAATTTGCTCTAAATTGCATTTCTAATCATGTTAACATCATTTCTTATGCATCAAATGCTTTGCTGTGCCTAAGTACAATGAAATGTTTGATGCATTAGATGCCTGTGACTCAATCATTCTTTTTCTATTTGTATTATAATAAAACTTAACACTAGTATTGATATCAAGATAGTTCAATAGTGTATCTACAGAAAATTGCAGACAATCATTATTATTAAACTCAGGAAGTTTAGGTGCAAATTTTCTTTAAAAAAGAGTTAAAATATTGATGGATTTTTGTAAAAATATTCTAAAAAAGTATTCCTAAAAACATATAGAAGTAAATTTATCATTTTATCATGGATAAAAGTATACATAGAACATGTAAAACTGAAGAAAATGATAGAAAATTTGAATCAGTTAGTCACTTTTGGAATCTTATCTATCAGTTTTATAGTTTACAAACAGAAAAGCAATGTACCTGCAAACACAGTCTTTCTATATTCTCCACAATCAGTCACAGGCTGCATAAGGAAAATAAATATTTGGACTGAGAAAATGATCTCTCTATCAATAAATGTGAAAGGAACATAATTGGCTTGCGCTTAAAACTCCAGGTTTTTCAACTAAAGAGACTCTGGAATTATATTTTGAATATCTGGATTTTCCAGGGAGTATTCCAGTTTCACTAAAGAAAATCTATCCAACTGGTTTTGGCATGTTTAAGAATTTCCTACTGCCTTTCACTAGACAGATTGATTACCTCAAAGTTAGAAACTTAACTACATAAGAACTTGTGTGAATGAAGTGTAGTGTTTCTCAGTTTATCAGTGAATGCTCCAGTGGATGAGAAATTTTTGGTATAAGAACAAGCTACTAGAATCCACATGCCTTGCCTGGTTATTACAGGGTATTTAGGAGTCACAAACCACTTATCTTTTTATATAGAAAGATTGTGTTGTTTCCTACTATTTACAATATTTTTTGAAAGTTGCTTCATATGTAGACTATATACCATAGCTTTTCTTTAGTGTGTTTTGGTCAGGGATTGATGCTTGGTATACTTTTCTAGAAAGTTTTTAAATGCAGAGTAATTTCTGACTGTATTAGAGCTGTAGTCTGTGTACATGAAAATTCATTCTTCTTCCTTGCATTGTCCTTTGCAGAATTTAATGATGCCAAATAAAACTGTTCCTTCTTTTTACCCTTTCTCCATTGGAAATATGTTTTGAATATTTAATATGCTGCTTAACCTGTGAAGAGAGATGCTTTCCATCTGAGTTTATTGAATTACAACTGACGATAGTATTTTATGTAGACAGCTTTAAAATTATTTACTAGCACCTTCAATTCTGACTTTGATATCCTTCAGTTCCTCGCCTTCATAAACAATGGATTCATCCTTATCATTTAACATTAGAGGAAGATATTTAAATATCAAAAAATTATTAATTAAAAATTTAATTTTAGATTTAGAAAAAAATACATAAAATCCCTAATTTAAATGCAAAAAAAGTAAAAAGTATCAAAAAGTGCTCAGTGGTAAAAACAGGAAACTAATAATCCCTTTCAAATGATTATAAGGTGGCATGCACATATTGGAACAACAGATTTTTCTTCGTTTTTTTATTCCCATCTTATTCTGTATACAATTCATCATTACCACTGCCTCCCCCTCTTCATTTATGCAATCATATGTACAATAAATGTCAATTAACAACAGAATATTCCAAAATAAATGAATTATTTTTGTATACCCAAACACTTGGATGACATCCCCTCCTCGTGTCAGCATTCATCGACATCGTCCCCATCTAGATGTCGTCGCAATAAATGCATGCTGCCTAAACTTAAAGAACCAACCTGTGATATTTTAAAACAGTCGCTTGCGGAAATAATAAAAAAGCACCACAACTACTGTACTTTTAGTTATTATTATGTAAAATTTTGTAATTTCTGGAATTATTACTCTCTGAAATTGATTTCAGTTAATCAATTTTTGGGTAATCAATACACTACTGTACTTAATTTTAAAAGTTTGGAATGGATGGAAAAATACTTTATATCTATAAAATAAATTATTACTTTCTTAATAAATTATTTTTAATTATACAGAAGTAAGATCAAGTTGGCCAAAGATTAAATTTTTATAACATGATCCACTTAAAACTTAACTGTCATCATGCTATATCTGTTACATTAATGCAGTGGTGCAGTCATTTTATGTATAATATATATTAAATATATATATATATATTATATAAGTTTTAAGCTGTCTTTTATGTTATTAGTTAAGTTTGAAGAATAAAAATACATTAAAGAAAAATTTTATAAATGATAATTTATGCTTTACAACAAAAGTAACATAAATTATAATTTCAAATAAAAGTCAACTAAAGTTTTGCAATTTTCAAATTATAAAACAGAAATTTCTCTGTTGTTCATGTTGCTCAATTTCGTTTGTGTTGGTTTGCTCCTTATTAACAAGCCCAAAAACATCTGTTAAGTTTCATTAAACATTTAATGGAATTTATTACAATTGTTTTCACATCTTTCCATTCTCATTTGACGATCATATCAAAATTGTCTTTAGTGTAGACATATAAACAAAATTGAATAATGCAAAAGCATTTGTGTTATATGCTAATAGGTTGCTGGTCAGATTATTGATGTTGTTAAGGTGTTAATTTAATTAAATGAAAAGTTGAATAAAAAATATAATTAAATTTGTGTAAATAACATATTTTTGTTAAATTTTATCGTTAATAAGTTATAATTTTCCATTTTCTAATTTATAAATTAAAATTGAAATATTTTATTTAAACACATCCTGTTATACATGACACAATTAAAAAGAAACCAGACCATTTCTGCTGTTCAATGATAGTGCAGAGTGCAGTTTTTTCCACCAAGAATTGATGTTTTAGACATTTGTGTGTTGGTCTGCAGAGAGGAATTGAGTTTTTCAAACCAGAATGCTTGCTAATGTGACTGTGTCGTGATTCAAGAATAAACTTTAAAATTGAAGATATGTTAAATTTTGCATTAATCTTTGAAAATCTACCACAAAGGTCCTTGAAATGTTCTGTGAGGCCTTTGGCAACTAAGTTATGGTTAAGACCACAATCTCCAAGACAAGTCAGGAGTGCGACAAAGAATGTGCTGAACATTTATTAATCTTAATTATTATTGGTATTATTAATTAATAATAATTTGTTCAACACACAATTTAATTAATGAATTCCAGCAAGTTAAACTACTATATTGCAATCAAATAAAGATTAAAATCATTAGTTTTTAACATTTAAAGCAATGATTAAGACTAATAATAATGACTGTACATTGTTAGCCAAATTTTGAGGCTAATAGTGCAAAAGATAAGTTCAAAAATGCCTAATTACTTAAAAGTAATGGTAGCCAAGTAATGATGATTGCAATAAGAAGGTTCTAAATGTGTATTTTAACTTATGTTTTTAAACATGTTAATTTGATAACATTAAACAGCTGATGATAGTATTCATGATTATAATGAGTACATTTCAGTATGTATCGGTCTCAGCCACAACCAATGCACCATTGAGCAATTTAACAAGTTTATACAGGAATGTCTCACAACCTAACAAGAAGGCGGAAGCAAATGGCTCTATAGTGCATGTGCAGACTTATTTTGTCAAAATAATTTTGGATTAATAAAAATGTGTAGTAAAAATGGTGTTAATGATATAACTGTGGAGGTTACCATATTGCTGCTTCATCAAAGTTTACAGTATCTACAGACTGATGAGTGTGATGCATAAAAGTTGCTGCACTGATGAACTCATTGATGAACATTGGAAGACATTTTAGTACATTGTGGTTTATTAATATGCTGTTTGATGCATATTGGAATGTATCCATTGAGTGGATTTTACCATGTGTCTATTTATATAAATAAATTAATACATTCTGTTGTTAAATTAGTAATCTACCAGAATTTATTTGATATTTATTAAAAAGTAAAACATCAAATTATTTTTTTATGTTATACAGTTTATTTTTGTACAGAGAAAAGAATACAACAGAGACATATCTAGATCCATTAAATAATGTATATAAATGAAGGAAGCAAAGTTTTTATAACTAGTAAATATAAATACTTCCTGTAATCAGTGGTGATATTCGAAATATTTAACAAAGGGTTCGCTAACAGAAAATTTTTTCTTAATTTTTTTTTTTCACTCAAATGGTGCATTAGCAACATTAGCGCAAAAACTGACCTTAAGATATCCATATAAATAAAAAAGATGCGTTCGCAAAATTAATTCAGTCAGTTAAAATTTAACATTGTTTATGCCAGAACTATATTTTTTTATATAAATAATAAAAAAGAGTGTTCAAAATGGTTTATTTTGTACATATTTTAATACGACACATGTTCCGCAGCCATCTTGTATTTTCTTGCGCGCATGGGATTGTGGGATCTCTCTTATGACTGGATCTAGTTTCAAGAACTCTCGTGTCGATCGCAATTGAACGTCGTTTCAGTCGAGATTGAAATGGTCGAGGGAGGTTGCACCAAGGCAAACGGAGTATAAGGCTCTAGTTTAGTAGTGTTACAGATTATAATACGTATATTTTAATATATTTTTTAAAAGAAGCAAAACCACTGAGAAATGTTGTGTGTGTTTAACAAGGTTCGGAAAACTTTGAAAATGTTAACAACGGGTTCGGCCGAACCTGTGCGAACCCGCTGAATATCACCACTGCCTGTAATTATATTTACTAGTTTCTGATTATGTTGAAATAAGTTGTAAATCTGTAACACTGAACTAATACAGTCAATTTTTACTACTATAATGCTTAATTTTTTTTATAGTCTGTGAGCAGAACGGTTCTAGAAGAAATTCAAAATATGGCTCAAGATAGTATAAACTTCATTCAATCTATACAAATGTGAGTTTATTTTGTAACATATCAATTTCTGTTGTTGAGATTTATTATTATTTTATAATAAAATTTTTAAAAATCTCTTGTAGACAGCAATTGCCTGATGATCCTTCTACTAGGCAAGAAAGTTCTAAATATATTCCTGGACCTTTACAACCAAGGTATTGTAAAATTTAAATATATTTATATTAAATTTTATATGTATATATAACTAATTATTGTTACTTTTTATTTATTTAAAAAAAATTTAACAACAAAATCTATAAAACGTAGAACTTAACTTTGCAATTTTTGTACTGTTCAGCTTATCTGCCCAACTTTTGATTATTTCGAGATTTTTTTCAATCTACTTGGATGTTTTTATCCAAAGCCCATTGCCTAAGAGTTTTACACTATTTCATTACGTTGTGTTGTTTAATTTGTTGCCAAATTGTCCTGCAAGTTGAGCATACTTGATAAAGATTCTGTTCTTTCTTCACAAATTTAATGATGTATATATCTGCTTTGTTTGTTTCTTTTATGCTTTCGTTGTCTGCATGAAGTGTGTGCATAATAATGGGAGGTCTACTAATTGTTAAAGTAATAGACTTCCCACTGTTATATGAATACAAAAAGTGACTAGTTGTTTCATTTTGTGTAAGAGGAAAGAATCAAAACTATCTTTTTATCTGATACTATGAAAGTTTTATCTTTTGTTGTAATGTTGGCTTTGTTCTCTCTGCCCTTTCTTGAAGTGAGGTAAGATCATCCTAATGAAGCCTTTAATTACTTTAAAAGAGAAATTGTGCTTGATAGCTGTATGCTCTACAAAAGAAATTTCTTGTTCCCTGTGTTCTATAAAGTGGAGTTTGTTATGGCTGTTTTTTTATTATAGTTCTAAATGCACTTGATTTGTGGGCTAATGTCTTGCAATTGCCAATGTATATAAGAGTTACATTTAGTAGATTTTCTGTAGACTTTTGTGTTGTGTGAATTCCCTAAGACACAAAGAATAGAATGTCTGAGAAGTTGATCTTGTGCTGGTTCATTTGGTCAATTTGTAGCTTGATTCCTACTGAATTGTTATTGATATCGTCCACAAAGTTCTATACATGTTCTTCAGTATTGCAAATTATCAGGATATTGTCAATATATCTGCAAATGATTTTTGTTATTTCTATTTGGCAACAATTTGCTTCTCCATCCATACTACCACTATTTGTGCAATGTCACTGGATGTAGCCCAACCCCATTGGTGTGTTCACCTCTTGTTTGTTATATAAGTTGTTCCACGTAAAATAATAAGAGTTCTTGTAAATAGTCTGCAACTTTTTTATAGTCTTTTATTACACATTTGAAAGATTTATTTGAATAATTAATGTATTTAATTAAAACAACAATTATCATGATTTAAAACTTAATTAATTTATTAGAAGGATTAAATATTCTTTAAACATTTTGAAACTAAACAACAACCCTAGAGAAACACCAATACAAGTTATGATAGAATGGAAATCTTAAAGTTTAAATTTTTATTTCATGTAAATTTAATAATAATAATAAAAATTGAGAGTCTCTGTACAGTACATAATATATAATATAAATATCTAAACAACAAAACCTGAAGTCATGAAAATACTGTACTTGAATAGAGAACAACAAATTCAAACATACGTAAATGATTTAAACATTTAAACACATCATTAATTTTGTAGGATGCCAAAAGTTAAAATAGTGCAAAATAAAATGACAATGTAACAGGTAACATAAAATAACAGATCTGTTGGTGGTTTATTTTTTGGAATGTTATGAAATTTGCAACATGTTTAGAAAGTTTAAAGCATTTGAATGTGTTAAAATTTGTTCTCTGTACGTGGATGTTATTTTTGTGTGTTAAGGATCCAATAATGAGATGTATACAGCCTTGAAAAATGTTTAATAAATGAATGACTGAACTTTTTAGCATTTTGATTTGATTTGTAAACGTCACCAGCATAGTGAAGGCTATATAGCTAGTTACAATTTCATATATTATGAGTGAGTGACCAGGTTATTAAGCATAAAGAAAGGATAAAGAATTCATACCTACAGAAAATTGAGAGCTCAAATCAGATGTGAACCTGAATCTTCTTAGCAGTAAGGAGACCCCTCAATGCTTGGTCTGATTTATACTATATAGAATTAAGTAACTATGTAATGGTATTTGGTATATCATCAAGTTGATTGGCTCAGTCATTTTGATGAAACTACATTTATTCATATAGATCCAGCATTATATTTGTTTTTTTCTGTGTCTTTAAAATTAATAGTTACTATAATGTAATTATTATATATTGAAATTTAATATAGTAACACACCAACCGAATGCCGAAAATCAATCGGGCTATTTTAATGCTAAATAAATTACGTAATCAATTTGGCACTAGAGGTAAGCGTTAGGTGCCATCTCTTATTAATATTAATAATTATAAATTAATTAATTAATTTAAATAATTTAGAACCGCTGGGAGAAAAAATCGGCCCGGAGCGGGACTCGAACCCACAACTCCTGCTTACCGTGCAGATGCGTTGCCAGTTACGCTATCCGGACCTCCAGCCCGATCTCCTCTTCCAGCGTATATAAGCCAACCATATAACCATCGACTGGAAGAGGAGATCGGGCTGGAGGTCCGGATAGCGTAACTGGCAACGCATCTGCACGGTAAGCAGGAGTTGTGGGTTCGAGTCCCGCTCCGGGCCGATTTTTTTCTCCCAGCGGTTCTAAATTATTTAAATTAATTAATTAATTTATAATTATTAATATTAATAAGAGATGGCACCTAACGCTTACCTCTAGTGCCAAATTGATTACGTAATTTATTTAGTAATTAGCATTAAAATAGCCTGATTGATTTTCGGCATTCGGTTGGTGTGTTACTATATTGGATATCGGGTTTGGAGATGTTTATTTATTGAAATTTAATATTTATTTTACAGTGGAATAGCATGGCGAGAAATTCAACATCATTTAGAAGAACTTATTTTACAGCTAGATGATGATTCTTCTGGTGAAAAGTCTGGAGGGTAAGTCATATTTGTTTTTAATAACATCTGGTTATAGTAGAAGCTTTTAGTTGAATTAATCAATGTATACTGTACCTTTAACAATGGGTGAAATTTAAAGAATGCTAATTTTTTTTGACTCAATTAATATTTATCTTCAAGCACAGACAATGGAAAATAATTCCACTTTCAACCATGTGTGTCAGAAGATAACCCTCTAATTGGGTCGAACGTGTCAGTGTTCTTTAACTTTCCTTTGCAGTTAAAGGTGCATTGATTAATTCAACTGAGTAACCACAGTGGCTGGTTCATTCTTAGAAAAAGCTTTTATAGTATTTTAATTATTTTCTCTTTAATGATTGCAATTTAATCTTGCATTCATATCAAATTTTACAAGATCGAAAATTTATTAATCATTTTTGTAAGAGTTATGTTCTATAAATAAATAAATAAATAAATATTAAAGAGCATTTATTATTATTTTTAGTTTGGTTAATTTTCAATTATAACATCATAATAAAGAACTTATTTATGCATTTTCAAATTTCTGGATCTAAGTTGAAAATTAATGTAATGTATAAATAATTAGTCAAAAACTACTTTAGTTAACTAACCTTTTTAAAAAAATTTTGATTTACACAGATGGACATAATGACGATACAACATATAGTGGTCAAAATGAGAAATATTTCATGAAGGTCTGACAAATTATACACATTTATACAGAGTATTCACAAACTCTCTGTAGAAATTTTAATAGGAGAAGGGAACACCAAAATATGTATATTTTTCATTTATGAATCTGTCTGTTGATATCCTTCAGTGCTAGAGAATACTGTTTGGTGGTGTTGCAATTGCCTAGAGAAGCAAAGTGGGGAATGGAAAATGAATTTGTATTTGTCATCAGCATTCGTAAATCAAACACGTTACATTTAACATAACATAAATGTAATCCAATTGACTCTTAGGGAGACCCTGTTGGAAGTGTTTGTTACTGTTGCTACAACTGTTTGCAAATTGCCAGGAAATCTTTGAAAATGTACAGAAATCAATACTTCAATGCTGTCATTTATGCATTGTTGTTTCTAATTGTAACTTTGAGCATTTTTAATAAAACATGTTCTTATACTTATTTATACATACTATTTATGTACTGTACCAGATCCACTGATATTAGTTGGTGTCCTGCTAGCACCGAGGGTGATATTTGCAGATATGCATTTGTAGAGAAAAAATACTTGTATTGGTGTTTCTTATCTCTCATTAAAATTTGTATAGTGTTTGGAAAAATCCTTGTATAATTTATAAAATTCATTGCTTTTATTATTACATAGCAAGATATTGTTTTTCCGGCAGTCTATTAGATTACATAGATCTTGATTTAGGCTTATCTTCAAAATTATGTTATGCATTTACCATTAATCAGTTTTTTGTATTTCTTCAAGTGTAATAAACTTAATATTGTAAGTTGATGACAGTTCTTGTCCTAACTGTAATTGATTATTATCAAAAAAACACTTACTACAACACCTTTTCTTGCAGTCGACGTTACTACAACACCTTTTCTTGCTGATATTTTAGTCGCTTCCGGGAAGCGACTAAAATATCAGCAGCATGGTCCTCTAGCTTATTATAATATTAATAATTGAAGGAAGTAGTCACTATGTATCTCATATTACGTACTTTTGAATAATGTAGAGAGATGGCAACTATACGTATTTAGATGTAAATATTTATGTAATATTGTTATATTTCCGTTGCTAAGTTTACACTGACGTCATTCGCAACGGATTATAAGCCAGTTCGAAAGATTCAAAAAAGAGTTATTTGTATTAAGTGTTCGATTTACAGTGTTTGTTCTTTATTTAATCGTATTTTCTTGAGAAAGGTCTTTTAATAAGACCGAAAACGTTTGAAGTTTTCTAATAAACGTCGACTGCAAGAAAAGGTGTTGTAGTAAGTGTTTTTTGATATTAAAATATGCAGTCTAGAACGATGTGTAATTGATTATTTTCATCTTTTAATGTAAATAAAATATTTATAATTTCAGTTCCATTTTTGTTTTTTCTTTATCCTTTTTTTCACAAATCTCATAGCTCAATTATTCTATGGATCATTTGTTAATTGCAAGAATTAAATTATATTTAAGAAAGAACATTTAAAAGTAAATGTTTTTAAATAACTTGTAAATACATTATTTATTTTATAGATTTGAATTACGACAATTAGATGAAATCGGAAAAATGGCAGTAATTTCTCATACGTTAGCAGCTTACGTTTCTACCTTAGAGCCTTGGAAATTAAGACGGTTGGCAACAAGAATAGTGTCCGATACCACTTTGTGGATTTCACGATTATTCAGGTAAATTTTTTAATGTATTTTCATTCTTTTATCGATGTCGTTTAACTTACTCATATATGTGATATGTTTTCGTAGATTTTTTGATACTTCTGCTTATTTTCACGATGAAAGTAAAGAAGGTCTTATAAGGGTATGCAGGATGATTCTTCATACAAGATATCCTAAATATATGTCCGAGGGCTCCGAAGCTTTGTATGCAAGACCGCCCGTCATATATGTCAGTGCTGCAGCTCGACCTGGATTAGGGCAATATATTTGTACACAGGTATAAATTATAAAGATAAAATAATTTTAGATAAGTTAAATGAGTTAAAGTTTATTCTGATTTATAATTCTGATTGTAACTATTATTAAATAAAACAGGAGAAAACTTTAATTTATAAAGCAAAATTAAACTTATGCTTAGAAATTTTCACTTGATTGTAAAGATTGTATTTTTGCTCTGTTCTTGATCTATGACTTTAACATTCTATTTTTGTCTTGTTCAGTTTTTTTAAGTCATAAGACAATATGTGAAAATTTTAACTATTTATGATGATTCATTTGTTTTGTCACAGTCATAACAAACAAAAATCAATATTTAACATAATTATACAAGCATTATTTTGTAATGTTTATTTAGTAATTAGCATTAAAATAGCCCGATTGATTTTCGGCATTCGGTTGGTGTGTTACTATATTGGATATCGGGTTTGGAGATGTTTATTTATTGAAATTTAATATTTATTTTACAGTGGANTATTTTCACGATGAAAGTAAAGAAGGTCTTATAAGGGTATGCAGGATGATTCTTCATACAAGATATCCTAAATATATGTCCGAGGGCTCCGAAGCTTTGTATGCAAGACCGCCCGTCATATATGTCAGTGCTGCAGCTCGACCTGGATTAGGGCAATATATTTGTACACAGGTATAAATTATAAAGATAAAATAATTTTAGATAAGTTAAATGAGTTAAAGTTTATTCTGATTTATAATTCTGATTGTAACTATTATTAAATAAAACAGGAGAAAACTTTAATTTATAAAGCAAAATTAAACTTATGCTTAGAAATTTTCACTTGATTGTAAAGATTGTATTTTTGCTCTGTTCTTGATCTATGACTTTAACATTCTATTTTTGTCTTGTTCAGTTTTTTTAAGTCATAAGACAATATGTGAAAATTTTAACTATTTATGATGATTCATTTGTTTTGTCACAGTCATAACAAACAAAAATCAATATTTAACATAATTATACAAGCATTATTTTGTAATGTTTTTTGAATTTACAAGGAATTAAATTACAAATCCTTCCTTGTAAATTTTATTATTATAATGGAATAAGCATTTTTTACTGATTTACCAGAATATTTAGAAATTTTTACATTTTCCAATTTATTTTTTTAAAAAGATTCTTTTATTGGTCATGTTTTATAAGATTGGGAATGAGGTCATCCACTGTATACATCACTACAATGCATTTATGTATGCTCATGTACATGCACATGATTAAATTCTGCAGTTTTCATTTATTAGAATTTAAAAATGGATAAACTTAGTGTTAACTAATTTAGTTACATTTTTTATTAAGCAATTTACAAATAAAATACGAATAAAACATTATATTAAAAAGTTTCCAGATAATTGTTATTGTCATGCGATTGACATTATATAAAAGCCAGCTTTACTTTATTGCAGCTATTTCAGACAATCTTTTTATCATATTAATTAATAAAATAAATTTTGGTGTAGTAAATGATTATTTTTAATATAAAAGAATTTTAAATTGGTTTTTTTAGAAATGTTTTTACTACTATTTTGAAAACTTAAAATATACTTTAGACAGAAAGCATTTTGTAATTTTTCAAATGATGTATAATTTGTCAAATTCATAAATTTACTATACCAGTTGTGCCTGTATAAATAATTTCATGCATGTAAAACAAAATATTGAATGCAAAAAGTAAGTTTTTATTTAGGAAATTTCAAATATATATTATATTTGATGTTATGAAGTTCAAAAAATGACTTTATGTTGAAGAACTTGTGCTTTCAAAATGAACCATTCAATGTAAAAAGTGACGGTTCTACTAAAACATTTTGAGAAGGTTAAATATAAACATGTTAAAACTTTTTGTTATGACTGTAACTAATTAATAAAACCATGTCCCAGACTGGCATTGAAAGTAAATTGTAAAATTTCTAAGAATATCTTACTGTGAAAAAAGAGATAGAGTAATTGAAGTTGGCTATGTTGCCTCTAATGAAGAGCAAGCAAAGTTAACATTATCTGTTTGTTTTTTTGTAAAGACAACAAATGAATAAAAAGTAAGGGTTGAGACCAGAATTATAAATTAAAACTGTAAAGATCTGTTTGCTAGTTTTAATTTATTAAATCCAAGGAGGATTGCAGACATTATTGTATTTATATACATGATATAAATTTATATTTACAGTTAGGACTTCCACTTGGCTGCTTAGCTACTGTTCCATGCAATACAGTATTTGGATCCCAGTACAAAATGGTAAAATGAAAAATTTATATTATTTAATTAATTAAAATTGTAAAATTATTTTTGATATATGTTTGGAGATAGAAAAAATCATAATTGACTTTAGGATATAGCAGCTTTGGAGAAATTAATCCAAGAAGATGTGGCAGCAGCAAGAAAGCCACTTTTAATGGTTGCAAATGCCGGATCTCCTGCCGTTGGCCATGTCGATAACTTACCTAGGCTTCAAGAACTCTGTAAACTGCACGATATTTGGTTGCATATCGAAGGGCACAGTATCGCGGGTCTTTGTTTAGTATCAGTTCCAAGTCTCGTAAGTATTTACTTTCTAACATTTTGAAAAATCAAATAACACCCAAGACTTATAGGTGTAATTTTACTTAAATTTTTAGCCAGCTAGAATTGGTGACAGCATGACTCTGCCAATTGGATCTTGGTTTGGAGTGCCTTCGCTTCCTTGTGTTGTATCCTAATATATATTATTTTATTCAATTATTATAATAAAAACATATTGTTTAATAAATATTTCAGTTAGTTTAACTTAATACACATACAAAGACTTTATATAAAGCGGGAGAACCGGCATGGGTACACGCAGCAGGTTTAAGTTCTTTCAATTTGAATGTCAGACTTAATTGCTTGCCGATTTGGGTCATTCTCCAATCACTTGGTCACGAAGGAGCTATGCAAAGAATTAAATTCTGTTTTGAACTGGTAAAATAATTTAAATTTTCTTTCATTGTACATCTTTGAAAATAAATCTTTTTGTTATTTTGAATTATAAAAAAATTTTATCATTTAATATTATAAAAAAAAGGAAATACATAAAATATAACATTATATTCTCAAATATTTATTTCTTTGAAAATATCAATATTATTTTTAATAATTAGAAATTATTAATTTTTGACTGAAAAATCTTTATTTTGGATAAAAAATTTTTCAGAGTGATTATTTATTGGAAAAGTTGGAAGAAATGCCTCACATACGAATTATTGTAAGTATTTTTCTAAGGCATATCATATATTGCCTATATATCCTTGCATTAACTATAAAGCTGGCTCCACACGTTTTGTATTCACTGATTGCTGAATAATTGCCGATTTGGTACAATATATCACAAAGAATGGGAAATGACAAATACTGAATATTAGTTAGGGATAAATTGTCCATGCTATTCAGTATTGGCCATATGTTTGTTTGGCATTTGGCAAATACTAAATGTGTAGATCCTGCTTAAGATATATTATAATATTGTGCAATAACATTCGTAATATATGCAAATTTAATCATTTAGATTTAGATCTATTGTTTGTTTTGATTAATGTTATTTTTATAATTCTTATGGTATTACTTTCATTATTGTCATAAGGTCACTAGGTCAGTTCATATTTTCATTTTATCATTAAGCTAATGCTCAAAATCTTATTGTTTAGCATCATCATCTATACTTTGATTTTGTATACAAATGATATTTCAATTAGTAATTTAATTGGAAAAATAATCAAATTTTCTTGCAGATTTTTATCTGAAACTCTAAACAAACTAATTATTACATTGCAGTAAAGGTTGGGTTGTATAATTTAGTTTTCAGCCTTTTTCTGTTTGAGCAACTTATTCAGTTGCTCAAATAGAAGAAGGCTGAATGTATTCTTATTCTGTTTTTCCTTTTAATATATTGCTTTTTTCCAATAATCTTTACTCCTTACTCTCTCTCACTCTCATTTCTAATCTTATTTGCTCTTGTTGCATTTCTCAGAAATTTCATATTTCGCTCCTTATTTTTTTTCCCCATTTTATCCATATCAACGTCTATGTCATTTGTTACTACATATATATGATACCTTTTGTATTGTATCCTCTTGTACTTACCATTGTATTTCTCTTTTACATAATTAAATTTCATGGACAATAACCTAAGTATAATTTAAAAGATTTGCATTAACACTTGCATAAATCTAATTATTGACCTAAAAAAGTTACAAGGTAACATTAAGATAAAAATACAAATGTCTAGTATTGTGATATTACATGAAGAAAATCTTTTTAACTTTAGGCAAAAGAAAGAATGAAATCCAACGAAGGAAAAACTTATTCGATAACTGACGTCATTAGCAAATCCATCAGCACGACTGTAAGTTAGACATTTTATTATTTGTAAGATATAATTTAAAATTTCTAAAAAAATGCAATTTAGATATGTAGTACAATCTCTGTAATATTACACTAGTTGACTCTCGAGTATTACGGCACTGTTGTTAAGTCATAGACAAGCTTACCACTAGTTTAAACTCCAGCTTCCACCAAATTTAGTGGGACTTGTTATTTAGGATACTGTTGCCAGTGATCAGTGTGCCAAGTAATTGGCACACTGATTACTGGTGATGGCAGCATGTTTGAATGTTTTGATCAGTAGTCCAACTTAGGTTTTGTCGCATCATTAACAGTTGACTCTAATAATCTGGCAATCTTTTAAATTCTGTTGGATTATGAGATTGTACCATATTTAGTTTCAATTAATTATATTAGTAACATATTAGAATTATAATATTAAAAATATTTATATTTTTATAAAAAGTTGAATAAATATTGTATGCATTTGTTACTATTATACAATAATCTCAGTTACCTGACACAAATGCATCTGGAAGAATACTGTATAATCTAGAAAGCAAGTAAAATAGGACATTTTTGTTTATCGTAGATTTATTTGAATGATGATAAAATATAAAATATATATAGATATGCAATTAAACAATATCAAAAGTATTTTAAGTAAAATAGTATAATGTCCAATTAAATCGTTCATTTATTGTTTAAATAAAGAATCTTCAAATACCGGATTAATATAAAATACAAAAATAATCCCTCATCAAACCTTTAACCGGTATTAAATAAAAGTAATATTACATGCAAACGTTTTCGGATCCCTCCCTGGGTCCTTTCTCAAGCAACGATTCTTCTTTAAAATTCGTTAGAACAAAGACCAGTAGAACGAACTACTTCTAAACTGCGACATTCGAAAAACTATTTCTTCAGAACCACATTTCAAAAGTCAAAATTCAAAAAAATCAATGTGAATCACGTGCATTCTGTATTGACAGAATACGGAATGCACGTGATTCACATTAATATTCACATTGTAACTGTATATTGAAAATTGTTTGTTAAAATTATTATTACATAAATAGTAAGATCTCTTTACATAGTATATTTAATTTACATAATAAAAATGTCCTAGAGACTTTTACTGATGGGTCATTCTCACATTTTTTAACTGTTTTATCTAATTTCTACCAGATTATCAACTGACATATTGAATACAAAATAATTTCTAAAATCTTGTCTGCATATTTTAATTCATTTATGTGAGAAGTAATGATATAAGAGTACTTAAATCTGAACAAAATTTTTAAGAACAGGCTTCCTTTTTTTGATGAAATTTAAGGTTTGTCCAAAAATGTGAGTAAAATTAAATTTATTTGAACTTGTAATTTATTAATTTACTCGAAACATGACAATTTTCTGTAACATGATTTATATTGACGATCAAAATTTTACTACCAAGTTGTATTAACACGAAATTAATAAATTTATTAAGTTAACAATACAAAAAGTGTATTGTGGGATAACATATACATATACTTAAGTAGAAAAAAAATAGATTTTCTGTTTATTTTAAAGTAGAAAAAACAAGGAATTGTCAAAGTTTTATTTTATTAAAAGCAAAAATGATAATGGCATTAAATTAAGTTGCTAACATAACAATAATTTTTTTTTTTTTTTTTTGAGAATGTGCATACAGATATTCCTGAACTTAAGACTCCTTGACATATGACTATTTGAAATTATGATGGTTGTCCCCTAATGCATTTGTAGACTGTATCAACAAGCATAGGCATGTTTGGTAAAAACAAAACAAAGAAAGGGGGCCACTATGCTGTCATCTACATAACTGTATGCATAATCACATATTTTCTATAATAAGCTCTATTAAATGGAATATACTTATATGTTGTTTTTCATTGATAATGATATGATTCTTGTTTAGTTGCATTAGCATAAAGTCTTTGTAGTGATTGTGTGACATCAGACTTATGACTGGGCTGTTGAAACTGAAGTCCAGAATAAGTCAAGATACATTAGAAATTCATGATCAGAGAAACAAGATTTAAAGTGACTTAAAATCCTGTTTCTCTGATCATGAATTTCTAATAAATGTCTTTCCCAATACTTTATCCATACTGGAGAATCCAGTGCACATCACATTTGGCTGCATAAATTACTTTAGTGTATTAGAAATACGACTGATTGACTCGTTGTTAATACAAACAATTTAATATAATTTTGTAGGGGTGTGTGATTGATTAGTACATAAAATCATGCTTGATGCATGATTTTATGTACTCATCAATCAATTCCCATAAATAAATAAATAAATAAAAATGTATGCATTTTATTTATGACAATTAAAACTAAATGAAAATTAATATCTTTTTTTACAGCTGTTGTTTGATATTCTTGCTCCCGTTGTGGTGTTTCAATACATTGCCGAAAATCGTAACCAAAGTAATGAAATACATATATATTATTACTGTTATTAAGAAATTGAAAAGGAAAAAAAATGTATTTAAAATTGAAAATGTTGCATTTATTAAAATTTTTATATATTATTTTATGTGAATTTTAACAGAAAGTGCTGAGAAGGAATTAACGGAAGAATTTCCGGCCAAAAATCCTGCATATTTTGATAATTTAAATTCTTGGGTGAGTAAGTTTATAAATATTAATTCTTTAAGTAATAATTGTTGTTTATTAGAGAAAACATTTGTTACATTTTATGGTTTAAAACTTTTGTTTGTTCTGTTAAGTTAATTGATCAAATCAAAATACTTCTTACATACTCTTGGAGGCTAATGTTATACATTAATGTGCACTTAATAATATTTTATATTACTGGTTTCTTATATTATGTGGCAGAGAGACTTGGTGACTTTTAAAATAAAATGTTAAAATTTCTTTACTATTGGCACTGTTTTGTTAAATTTAGGTTCAAGATTATTTATGACAATTAAAACTAAATGGAAATTCCTTGACTAAACCCTTAGATTTTTGAGACTGGGTTTATAGTCTTACAGCAGGTGACAAATGAATAAATATTTTTAAAAATATCTTAATTTCTTGCACATTTTCTAAGCCATTTATTGACTGTGTTTATGGGTTATGGCTACAAAAATTGAAATATTTATTGTTTTCGTAGTTAACACAAATCTGCATCTTTCAACTTGGTTCTCATATTGTCATTTGTATCTGCTTTGATGTTGTCATCAGAATCAAGAACTCAACTGCCATCTTCCAATTCGAGTATTTCTAATTACTCTTTGGCCAATGAGCTCTGGATGTTTGATGATATTTATAATTTTATATCAAAAAATGTTTCAGTGAACTTGGGAATAGAAAGTGCCGCCTGACTCTAGATAGTTTGAAGTAGAATTTTAGTTAAACTCCTTATCTGTCTTTCTAAACTACATTATCTTATAAAAGTATAGTACTTTGACATGTTTTCCATGCTTTTTAACCTGAGGCTTTATTCGAGGAAATACTGCATCATCATCTTTTTATAGGGAACTCTTCTAAAATTTTGTTCCATATTTTTTACTTCAGTGCTCCCAGCTGTTGCCAACATGATTTTGAAATAATGTGCACACAATATTCTTTAATCCTTTCTCAGTATCAGTAATATTTCTGTAACAGTGCAAGTTTGGTTTGAGTTATTAAAGGTTTGTTATAACAAAATTCTTCTCTATGTTGTTTGACTTTTGACAAGACTGAACAATTACTTGTATTGCAATGGCATCAAACAATAGTTTTATCGTTAGAAATTATAGGATGACATTTATCAATAATATGTATTTAATAAAAGAAAAATTTATTTTATTTTATAAATCGGATAGGCTGCCATTTAAAATGTTCACAGTATATATTAAGATCAATTTTTTTTCCAGCTATTTATTCATACTTGTACATATAATTGATGTATATATTTTTTCTAATTATACAATAAATGGAGCATCTTAAATTTTACTGTTATAAAAGACAAAGTTAATTCATGAAAACATAGTCTCATGGCTACAGCTTGCCCATGTTTGGGTATAAACCATTAAGTTGTAAATTATGAATATAAATTATTAACTTGAGAAACAACTTTAACTTTAAACAAGATTTAGATTTTTTAAAAAGATAAAATATGAATCTCAAAAATTTTTATTAGAATATGTTTTTGTATCGTTCAAGTTAGGACAAGTTTTACGGCGCGACGTGCCCACTGTCAAATTGGACATAATTGATCTGGAACAACACGGCATATGCATTCGAATCTGTCCTTTAGAATCTTCTCACAGTATGTCAAAATTAATAATGTTTAAAGCTGTATTTGTAATTTATATAAATTTAATCAAATTTTCTTGACATTTACTTAGTCACGAGTATGACAAAAGAAGATGTAGATGAGTTCCATAACTGTCTACAGCAGCAGTTGGTGAGTAAATAGCTACATTATGCAATTCCAGTTTGAGAAAATTTTAAGATCTTTCCATTTTTTGATTTCAGGAAATTCTAAACGCAACTGTTCGACAAAAGGAAACGTTCCGGAATTTGGTCGAGAATCAAAAGAATCTGCAGATAGTTGAAATATCTAACTGGGCCGGTCTGGGTGGTGTCAGGTAGGTGTGGAAAAAGTAATTTTATATATTCAAAACTATGTTTTGTTGAATGTGAAATCATGTAGATAAAGAAATGTTAATGATCTGAATTTATCTTGTTTTGTAACAGGTACATCCCCGATAGTTTAGTCGATAAATTGAATCAACTTACTGAGGAAGACAAAGATGATATCAACAAATTGAATTCAGAAGTGGTTGTCAAACTCAAAGCAACTGACTCTGCATTTTCTTTAGGTTTGTATCTAGAAAATTTTATATTGATTGTATTTTTTTATTTTTACGTAATAACAATTGATTGATCTTAGGAGAAGGAGATGATACAATGTTGTGCGTGAGATTTGGCATGGTTACCGACGATTTAGATATGGAAGAATTAGTCAATCTTGTCTTAACTTCTGGTCAAGAATTAGAAGAGTCTTCTAAGGTAAATATTTTACTATCCATTTAATGTTATGGGTAAAACCTGTAAATTGGATAGTGTTAACTTTTGGTTAAAGCAAGTAACAAAGACTTGGATAAATTAATTAATGTTAGCTTTATCCAAAAATAGATGGAAAAAGCAAAAACAAAATTTGGAGTCATTCTATTACTGTTTTTGTATAGAGTCTGCCTTTTTATGCACATGATCATTTTGTGTTTTAGCACTCATGTGGATAGTGGGAACAGGACAATGTTTTCAAATTCTTGCAATATGGCAACAATTTTTTGAGGACCATTAAAAGAGCAAAGTAGGTAGAAGGTAGTTTAGATCCACAATAACATGAACATTTTTAAAATACAAACATACAGTAAAGTAATAAAAATGTACACAATAGTTTTACAATGAATTGGAAAATTTGCCTTCAAAGCTACTCTCCTGCTTTCATTGGAATTCATTAGTTCTCAAGGAGAAGTCCAGTTCTGCAACAACATCAAGTGAAGAAAGTCTGATCCTTCTAGTGCAACAGATACTTGATATGATTGTATTTTTGGCAAAATACAAAATTTGCAAGGTCCTAGTCATTGTCTGTTTTGCCTGTATGTAGGACAACTCTGCTTATAATAAATTACAGGACTTTAGGTTGTCTTTAATTATATTTGTGTTCATTAATAAAAAGAGAATGTCTTAAAAGGTCTTTTGAACAAACACTGTGACATTTATTTCAGTCTGGGTGCTGGATATGTGCAGTTATTAGCCATATAATCTGCAATGCAATTGTAGATTATATGGCTAAAGCATGAATTTTAAGTTTTGTTCTTGCTTTGTCCATTCATTTTTGGATAATGTCAGCTTTAATAGATTATCCAAGCATTTTGGTTAATTCAAGTAACAAATTTAACATTATCTAATTTGTGGGAATTAAAAGAGGTGTTTGGAGCTCTCTGTAGAAAGAACGGCCAACAGCATGCCATCCCGAGTGTGCGGTTTTGATTTTCAGGAAAATTTTTTACTTCAAAATTAGCTGATGCTCTCATGCTAATGTAAATTTTCTAATGAATTTAGGGTATAGGAATCACAGACAGCCTCCACAATTTTTCAATAGGCAAACAGTTAACAGCTTAGAAAAATGATTTTACATTTTGAAAAGACTGGACCTTTTGCTGTGCAATCAGGACAGGTTTGGAAGACACTGCTACTACAGTAGTGGAGCATGGAAGAGAAAATTCTCATGAAGAATTCTGCACATTCTTTACACTGGTGTGTGGAAAGAAGTGTAAATTTTTCACAGAATATCATCAGAAACTGAACATGACTGTGATAACAATAAGCAGTAAGCATTTGCCTTTATGATTGATAATGCATGGCCATAGCAAATTCTGTGTAGTGAAAAAGTTTTTATTAGTTTGCATGGCAATGCAAAGTCGCATGCTATTGTATTTGATCTTATGAAGATCTACACAATTGCCAAAAGTAACAGTGTGTGTGATTTTACAACTTCATCATTTGTCTTCATTTTTTTTTTTTTTTTTTTTTTTTTTTTNTATATGCCCATGCCAATTCCTTTTTTTTTTTTTTTTTTTTTTTTTTTTTTTTTTTGAAAAAACTGCATCTGTTCTGTTAATGCTGCTAGATATGGAGATATGCTCCAAAAATTTCATCATTTCAGCACTTCAGTAGAAATTGTCTGAACACCACAATCTTAATGTAAGATGGTCCATCTCACATATTGGATTTAATATACAAGCCTTTCTTGTACAAAAAAAGTCACAGTGAAAGATTAGCCAATCACCAGATCTTCAACCACTGTGAATTTTGGTTAAGTTTGTAAAATTATCTTTTAAGACATTTATCACACGTGACAACCACATGAAGGTCAATTGTATCCACTATCAAGTATACTGTGCAGTGAATATATTTTATGCACTCTCCATCTCTATACTCTAAAAAGATATCTGTAATTGAAATAGAATTATTATACTTTGTTAGAAAACATACATAATAGGCACATTAAGAGGATAGTTATGCCAAATTTTGTCCTAGCAGCTGAATTCTGAGGTAAAATGTTTCCTAGAAAGTCAAAACTGCATACTCAGGATATATTTAAATTACATTTTGGTTGGGATATGCCTGATAGTTTCATTCCACAGCAAGTTCTGGAAATAAAAATCTATCCAGGAGTGATAGATATTTTTCCAGCATTGTTTTGTTAAGTTGTGAACAACACCTGATATTACATAGCAACAACATGGATGCATGCAATTCCCAGCATAAAATGCAGAGGATGCCACATGGCAATTTGGGTAGTGAAATTATGATGATAAATTTACAGCATAACAAACTACAACTCCTTCAGTGTCATTTTCCTGGAATAGAGAGTAAAATTGTCATAGTCTGTACCACTAGACAGAGGATGCGCTACTGATGCTCCACAATGCATGCAACATATGACACAGAGTGAATTTTACCTTAATTATCTGATGTGGAATTTGGAGTAAATAGTTTCTTGCTCCTGTATTTGTTGATGGCATCTTGAATTGTGATCAATGTCTGAACAACCTAAACAAGACAGTGGATGAATGTCTTGCCTTGTTCCCAGATAGACTTGCATTAGTGATTTGTAGAGAGATTGGGAACAGAGCTGCATTGTTGTGAGTTGATCCCACTGGACTTTTTCCTGTTAAATCACAAAGCATTGGTGCATGACACATATCTGGGAGCCCCAGGCAATATTGATGAGCTGGTGATGCTGTGCCACTCTTGACTGTACACATCTTAATTCAAACCAGCTGCCTTCAACAGAAATATTGGGTTGATGTAAAAGTTTCTGGACCTCTCCAGAATATTGGAAATTGTTCTCTGACAGATGACATCTAGTTTCTTCTGGGGGTATGTAAATGAAGGGTATTGAGTTATTCAGTTGTAAGTGAAAAGATATTCTGTATGGCAATGTCAAGTTTGCCAATGCTTTCTTGTGACTAAATTTGCACATTTGTACTTTATGATTAGCAATTTGGTATCTTTGGTATGAAAGCAGCCAAATCTTATTGCCTTATGATGCAATTGTTTGCCAAGAATGTTGTCTACAATCGGTTCAGTAAATTTAAAGCTGAACAATACAAAGTCTAAGGTAAGCCATGCTCAGGAAGACAACCTATGCCTGCCCACATGAGAAATGAGCAAAACACTTGATCGTGACCAGCCCACTGTAGTTAGTCAGTCACTTACCTGCCATTGGAAAGGTCTGCAACACTACATGTCAAGGTTGACCCAGCTCCTTTACCATCCCATAAAGTCCAGACATTTCATTGTCAAACTACCATCTTTTCTGCTCTACGAAACATTTCTTAGATGGAAAGAGGAGATGTAAATTCCAGTAGACATTTCCTTCAAGTCAAAACAGATAGTTTTATTCAGCAGGAATCTGTGACCAGCCTAATCAATGGAAGAAAGTGCTTGAATGTAAATGGGTAATGATTTTCTTGAATAAACAATTTTTTGTTTTTGAAATAAATATTGTATTACAAAACTCTAGAAATTTTTGCATCTACCAAATACAATGCACTATAGAGAACTGACACGTGCCTATTGTCAGTTCTCTCATAAGCTGTTTTTATACTTTAGAGACTGAGATAGTTTGTACATCATATTAAATCATAAATTTTCCATCTCTCCCTTTTGTTATCCATGTACACAGGAATTGTTTTATGTATTGCATGATTTACACCCACCATTTTTTTCTGTTCTATTGTAAACACTGCAATGAAACTAATGCCCCATAGGCTGTGCTGGAAAGATCTCTCTTGCATGTGGATAAATATTAAAGTGGACACCCTGTATATGGATTCTATTTTAAAAATTATTTTTATAGTTTATAGAAACAATGTCGGAAATGGTGAGGCAGGGAATTGAAGAGGCCAACAAGGAATTAGAACAAGAAAACATTGAAAGAATCATGCAAGAGGTATCTACATTTAATTTATAAAAATATGTGAACTGTTCACCAAAATTTGAACATTTTCTTTAGGGCGTAATACGTCACGTGCCCATTGTTGGTTCTCTGGTAAACTGGTGGTCACCCGTATCTAAAGAAACGGGAATCAAAGGACGTAGTTTCAATTTAACTTCGGGTGAGTAATTTTATAATAAATAAAATTAAAAATAGCAAATAATTATTATTATTGTTATTATTTTTACTAAACAGGTATTGTCGAAAGTACTGAAAACATCTACAAATATCACATGCAAATACAGCAGGGAAGTAACTCTCCCAGAACTCCGCCGCCTTCCACGAAATCGGTAGTGGGTTCTAAATTAGAACGGAACAGTCAGCAACACAGCAGATCTTCCTCTCACAGTTCACAGAGTGCATCTATGCATAATGGTAATGAAATCAAATCCAACATCACTCAGGAGGTTCCGGTGATGAACAGTTCAGAAACATCCGCAGCCAAGTAAAGTCGGGATAATAAAATTGGGTAAGATGTTTTACGATTTCAACGATATCAGACACACTTTCTCTATCAAATGTCAATTTTGTCTATCAGCAGGACCAATTCGGGTACACCGTCCAGTGGTGCACGATTACAGTCGGGGATTACGACATGTATTTATGGGCAAGTTTATTTTTAACATACGGCGTAGAAGAATCAGTAGCATTTGCATATTTATCACCGGTCATTTTTTAACATTTGCATTTTTCTAATTTAATTATGTTTCATAAATGTTGCAATTTTACTATATTTAATGTTTAATTATGTTTATTTTAAGGCCCAAAATTATCATGCCAGTATAATTAACCAAAAAAAAAAAAATTAGATTTTTACAGGAAACGGACCTTAAAAATTTTTAAATTTCTTTTTTAAAGCTGTACTTAGTACACTAAACAAGAGAGAATGCAGATGAAGAAAATAAAAACAAACTAGTCATGAAATGAAAATTTTGTGATAAAATGTAATATATATATATATATAAATATACAGTATATATATATTGTAAAGATTTATGTATTGTACACAAAATAAAATTAAATGCCTTGATATTTAAATGTTACATTGGTTAATCTATTGAAGTTGGGTCCTAATTCCCATAAGTTTTCATGGATGATACAAATTGAGGTGTTGTTTCCTGTCCCTCACCTCTGCCAGTGTCGGGGCCGGAAATGGTACCACACCATTGCCAATACACACCGGTTCAAAACAATCTGACTTAATGGATACTTGTGTGTTAACAAGAAGCTTTGCAGTGAGCATAACTGGCAAAATCTCACATTCTGTATTTTTATTTGGGCAAAAAAAATACAATATACATAACTTAAATATGCTAAATAACAAACTGTAAGAGTGTGCACAGGTGGTGAACCGTGTAGTTGACTTTCTCACTTCTAGATGCAAACAAAAAAAAAGCATCACAAATTTTATATTCTCTGTTTATTTTTGGCTTCTAAACCATCATTTCTACTTACATGCTCGAGTGTAATATTTGTCCACAATCCCCCACGTGTGCATTGGTCTAACTACTTCCTGCGAATAAAAATTACACAATACATCAGAGTGCCAAGACCAAAATAATAGAATTTATATCCCCCAAAATGACTCATTGTTTACTAAACATTTGGGATCCACACATCAGAAGTCGTTCCAAATTAATAGAAATCCAATTTGTATCTACAATTCTGAAAAGCAATAAGTATTTAGAATGATTTCTGAGGGAAATTTTCACGGGTGCCATTCCCAGTGCTTTGCCGAGCGGAGCCAAAATAAATTTGAAATAATACTCAACTTTTTGACAAAATTTAGAATATTTTCCAGGCCGACCCATCGAGGGAAGACCAACGGAACCATTTGCCATCACATCTATGGGGCTTACATGCAAAGAAAAATAGTATTGGCGCCCAGAGTGCAGAAGAAACTGCCTTCGGTTTGACAATATACATAGTCAAATTTGCTTAATTGGAATGCGACTAATTCGTTCCGATTAATAAGGGCCATCCCAGTAAAGCAAATAAACAAAATCTAAGGTAAAAAATGAACAGTAAAGACCATTTATAAGTACAGTTGACCCCCCCTATAAGATATAGATACGTTCCATTCTTTAGGAATCCGATTTCTTACGAGTCGTTCCAATCACAGCCCGACACGTGTCAAGTTTACGGACTACGGCTGTTTGAAAGGTTTTCTTCCATAAAATTAATCGATTCTAGACTAATCCGACTCAACATTTCCAAAATACGTATATATTTTTTGGAAATAATCCGTATAAACTACGCTATAAACAAAAAATTGTAGGATTACTTACCGAGTATGCACCATTCGACAACCCCATTGCTAAAGCTTGTTTTCGTCGCGAAGCAGCACACCAAACCACGGCCGATTTCTGATAACTTATTTTTCTGCGAAAACTTCGTTGAACTTCGGAGACATCATTAATATAAATAATTTTAATCGCCGTTGAATAAGAAATGTTTCTTTCACAAGAAATGTATAAAATTACAGTACTGTATTAGACTTACGGTACCTAATTTACATACTGACAGACGATAGTTAGCGTAAAAATCTCCGTAGCGTGGCGCCACGCTAGACGGCGGAAATTATATATTTAATTATAACAAAGTTAAAATAAGTTAATATATAATTATATATACAGTACCTAATTTATATATAATTAATATATAATTATATGTACAGTACCTAATTTATATATAATTTATATAATACTGTCCAGACGATAGAAATCTGTCCATAGCGTGGCGCTACGGACAGCGGAAAAGTAGTTTGGCTGCCCGATGACATTTGAGGTAATTATAAGGTGTTTTTACTGTTTTTTACGGATACCGGTCACAATTTTTTCGTAGTTTTATAGGAATCGTAATTATAGGGGGGGGTCGACTGTATTAAAATATATAATACACATATTTTTGAACTTGAATTTATGCATATAACATTTTGAAAAAAATACAGCAATGAGTTGCCTGACATTTCCAGCAACTTTTGGTGGCGCCATCTGTTACGATATTTTTTTAAAAAAACTTTTACATTTTTAACATTTATAAATCGGTTTTATATCGGTACGGGTTTTATAAACATAAAACTAAATGTAATAACCAGCAAAATCGTCATTAAGTCCGATACTACCGGAGATAGCCCTGACCTCCATTATCATCCCACCCCCTCGACCTTTAACCACCAAAATTTCATAGCATTGATCCCCTAACAAACAAACCTCCCTGCAAAATTTCAGAAAGTTTCGACAAACTTCGTTAAATTTAAATTTAAACATTAAAAAAAGATAGCCCCGTCACGTTGCTTTACAATTTTTAAAAAAACTTTCTAAGTGACCACATGATGTTCTATTAGCCAATCGGAAGTAACGATCTAACGAGCCTGTTCTTTAAAATTATCGCACATTATGCTTCAACAGGCAATATAGGCTATTTAATTTGTAGAAACATTAGCCGCTACTAATCTCAATTCTTCAATCTCTTCTCTCCTTTCTGCGACAAATTAGTCTGTCATACTTGGCGGGGGGAATTTCTAGTCAATGTATCAATGTATAAAAATTCTTCATGATTTCTAACATTTTGTGGTTCGCACGTGGTCACCGATTTTGATCAAACTCTGAGGTAGTGCATCCCCGACGACCGACACGTGCCGAGCGGTGAGGCGCAATACTCAAAATTAAAGGATAAAATAAGTAGTTTTAGAATTTGCAGAGTAGTTCGGTGGGTGCCAGCAGGCCGTTCATGGTTCGGATTAATTTGTCCAGTTTTCGTAGAAATTGTGAGATTACAATGAAACAAAAATATTTTTAAACACAAAATTATAATTTTTAATTCTTGGTATTTTTTGTACCAACACTTACTTATAATTTATTTGGGATGATGATTAGATATAAACATAGTTATCATTATTAAAGGCCAATTTTGTTAATAAAAAATATCTTTTTTAGGCACGATTCAAGCTCCGAATAAGGGGTTTTCGATCCCAAAATTGTAGACCTCCTTGTACAAGCATAAAAGTCAAAGGAATCATACTTCTATATGTGACGCTTGGTGAGATATTGCCCTACAGAGAATTGGCTACATCATTTCCGGGCGCGGTCTCCAGATGTCGGTGAATGCAAAGCGTTGAAAAAACCGCACTGCCTTTTAACCATCCGCGCGTGCGCCTTTTTCCACTTTCCACCTTCCCCTTCAACACAGCCCGCGTGGCCCGTCTGGAGGCACCGTCTATTATCTGTAAATACAAATAGCTAATATCGCATCGCTTACCTGAGCCAGGTCCTGGCTGGCAGTGGTCTACTCACCGCACGTGCCCACCAGATAGCTTTGCCAGAAGCCAGAACCACCTCGAACCTCATATTTCAGGCATGCGATCACAAGGAAGGCACTACGTATGCCGGCCCTCCCTCGGTCACAGATGCAGAGTGCCCAATGGGACCGCGGTCCCCCACCCTGAGGTTTTATAAGCCGCACAGTCGCCTTCGGGCATTTTCACCCAGTATTTGTTGTTGTAATAATTGTGTGTTAAACTCAGCAGATTCAATAATTGTGATATTCAAGACAACGAAAGTGAAAGCTAGAAGAAACGGTACGTACAGTCGACTTCCCTATAATTACGATTTCTATAAAACTACGAAAAAATTGTGACCAGTATCCGTAAAAAACAGTAAAAACCCCCTATAATTACCTCAAACGTCATCGGGCAGCCGAACTACTTTCTCGCCGTCTATAGCCAAGAACATGAA